GGTTGTTGCCAACGTGGCACTCTTAATCCATGTGGATACAACAAAAAGCCTATACYGAAAATAGGTTTTCATTTTCTCTCATGTTCCCTCTGTCTCTCGATCTCTCTCCCTTCTCTCTCACTCACATAGTCATGTCTCGATCTATCGCTCCCTTTGTTTCTCCCACTCTCTTATCTTTGGTTAGTAGCCAAATCAAAACCTTTATTTCTCTCTCTCTCTCTCTCTCTCTCTCTCTCTCTCTTTCTCTCTCTTTCATTCTTCTCCCCCACTCTTCCTCTTGATCAATATCTCCTTCTCCCTTAATCTCTATTGTTCTCCCTCAGTCTTTCTATCGCTTCCTCTCTCGTTCTTTTCTTTTTATTTTTCTTACAAACTTATATAATATTAATCAGACCATATAAAAGAACTAAAGGGATCAACCACTTGTACAATCAAGTTGTACATTTCTATCAAGTTGGTATAAAATTCACAGCCAAGAGTTTCTTGTGAATTTTTATCAAATTGGTGAATGATAACCAATTTGATAAAAAATGGTATTAATCATCCTTTTTTTTTATTTTTCTTACACACTTATACCACTTGTACAATCAAGATATTTTCTTATCTAGATGGTGGGTCAACGATCCAAATTTTCAAAGAAACCCATGATGTCATAAATGAATAATAAATATTTAAAAAAAGATAGAGCACAAAAAATGAAAATGTATAGAATTTTGTCGAAAACATTTGAGAGCATTTCTAATGTTTTATATTCATCATATTAAATAATAAAATCTATTTTTATTTATGATAGAAATGGAATACAAAATATAATAATAATAATAATAATAATAATAATAATAATAATAATAATAATAATAATAATTGTTATTTGCTACAAGCATTTAAGTTTATTTTTAATCATATTGTTACTTTTGTTAATTTTTAATTTCTATCTTAACTATGATATATCTAAAATTCAATTAATTAATATAAAGAAAAAATTTTAACGTGCAACGCATGTGCTTAATTACTAGTTTGGAAAAAATATAAATACAAATATGTAGAGTACAAAACCTTGTATTTCACTATTTTGTATGATTTTGCATCATACATATTGGTATTTGTACTACTCTTTCTAAACCGAGCCTAAATATTCTAGATATTCAAATGTTTGTCATATTTTGACCCTTTAATTTGCTTGTTGTACAATAGCATGATAGACATACACAGTTATCCATCATGCAGCTAAAATAAAAAAGCAACCATTGTGCTTCTACTAGGGGCAAAATATTTTAAATAACTAAATGTTTAACATAACTAGATTTTAAATAGTTAAAATAACAAAATTATGTATTAATAGTACTATAATTTTATGGATTATTAAATTCAACAAGTAATTAATATTTTAAAATTTAATTAATGATATTATTTCAATAAATAAATAATATTGTAAATAACTAATTTTATTTATACCAATTAATAATTCTAGAAAATAACTTTCAAAAAATCACTATTTATTAATAATTTTAAAAACTTAATCTTTATTTATTATATATTTATCTATACTAAAATTAATATTTATTATATTTTAGTAATTATTTATTGTTTTTTGTGATAAATATATTTTCAATAATCATGTATAAATCTATTTTTGTTTTGTTATTTAATAGAAAATTTTCAATAATTATTGGAGTTGAAACTAGTTTTATTTAACATTTTAAATTTAATTTATTGTGTATTTTCACTATAAATTTTTAATAATCTTTGGAGATTAAACAATTGCTCAAGGGTTGGTTCGGTTCAGTTGTAGGTTGTTCGGCCAACCAAATTGACCTAGTTAGGTTTCGGGGGGGGGGGTGGGGGGGTGTTGGCCACTCATCAGGTTATATCAGTTTGGATCAATTTTTGGTTTGGTCGGTATGTTCCAAATATTTAAACTTAAAAAAATAAAATTTAAAAATTAAGTTTAAAATTAAAAAATACAATGAAATTATTAAAAAAATAAATTTAAAAATTAAATTTATGATTTAAAATATTTAGCCTAAGAAATATTGRAATTTTCTCACTTTTCTGTATTAAAAAATATATTTAAAATATAAAATATTAATATATATATTTATAGTCGGGCCATTCGATTTTAGTTAGTTTACAAATGACCAAAGCGAAATTGATCCAACACAATCGGGTTGGGAAATTATTGAACCAAAGCCGATTGAAAATACTAGAAATTAGGTTGGTCAGTTTCATTAGTTTGATTCGGAATGGCAACGAGGTAAGGCGGGGACAAGGAGCCTCTCCCCATCCCCGTCCCCACGAAAATCCCCATCTACATCTCCGTCCCCATCCTCACTAATGGGGATAATGTTATCCCTATCCTTGTGGAGATCCCCACTCCCCATGATTCTTTATAATGTCAACCATTATGTTTTTTATTTTATTTTATTTAAAAAATAAAAATAAAATAATTAAAATTTACAATCCTATTAGAAAAGATTCAAACATATTCAACCATATTTTTAAAAATACTAACATATAGACTTATGTATATATATATATATACATACATATATACATATATAAACATATGTGTATATATACATATATTAGCGGGGATCCCATGGGGTGGGGATTGGGTCCACGCAGGGTAGGGAGTGCTCTCCCTGTCCCCACCAACGGGGATGAAAATTTTCCCATCTCAAATCATCCACATCTCCATTCCATTTGGAGCAGATTCCATGGGGATCGAGGAAATAGGAAAAATTGCCATTCCTAAATTTGATAAACAACCCTTTCTAAAATTAATTATTATTAATTTTTTGTATCGTAAAAAAATTATTAAAAATAGTATATAAAATTATTACTAGTTTGAAAAAAATATTTAAATACAAAACCTTGTATTTTACTATTTTGTATGATTTTACATCATACATATTGGTATTTGTACTACTCTTTCTAAACCGAGACTAAATATTCTACATATTCAAATGTTCGTCATATTTTGACCCTTTAATTTGCTTGCTGTACAATAGCACGATTGACACCCATAGTTATCCATCATGTAGCTAAAATAAAAAGCAATCATTGTACTTCTACTAGGGGTATAATATAACGAAGCCGAGCTGAGATTTGGCATGTCTTGGCTTCCTTCGACTAAGATATTCCTATATTTGAGTTCGTTTGAAACTCTATGTTCTCCTTCAACTAAATATAGAAGTTTGAGTAATATATGTCAAGTCAGGCTCACAAGTTTTTGAGTGAGACATTGTATTGTCATTTGGAAATGGTTACATGACCATTAAAACAGAGTAAAAAATGTTCAAGAACATAGACCCATAATTATTTATTCCAAAAGTACCCTTATCTCTTCATATCTGATGTTGCCAATTTCATCCACCCCACCGATTTATGATATGTGGCACACTCCCAAGGGCAATCTCGTAGGGCTAGGGGGCATCCTCATCCCTTTGCCCTATTAATGTGGAGCTTTAATAGCAGGCGTTACAACCTCGACCGAGCCTCTCCCGGTGCATTTATTAAGGGGAAAACCCGGCCATGTGGTCTATGCCTTAATGGCTTCCCACTTGATGCTGGCCAACATATAGTCGTTACCAAGTGTCCCCCACACGCAAGGAGGCCTCAACTATAAATGTGGACTCAGGGTCATAGGTGACTCTTACATAATCTTAACCACTCAATTGCTCTCGCAATTTCATCACCTCGGCTTTCTTGAGTTCTTAGTTAACTTAACCATTAGAGTCTTTGTAGGTAGGAGTGTAAATCGATTGAATTTGAATTGAATCAGGCAATATCCAAATTTGAATTTAATTGAAAAATTTAATATCCGAATAATGCAAGTAGGGGCGCAATCTCATCACCTCGGTTTCATGAGCTGCTGCTTACTTGGCTGTATATCACCTCTCATTCTTATTATTTATTCAATACGAAAAAGAAAAAAAATGAATAATGAAAAAATCGTCTTATTTAAAACCCCAATTATGACATCCCTTCTCTCCCACTTCATACCTCGGAATGCACTGCTCTTATAGAAAGAAACATGCTTTTACATCTTGTTAACCCAAAATGACTGAGAAAAGGAAAAGTTCCTTTTTGAGGATACTCCCAGGAACAGATCTAATGGAGACGGCCCATGGGCCCATGCATGTATTATCATAGAGATCACTAGAACACTAAGTGTATGCATTTGTGATTGATTACTAGCAAGTGATATGCAAAAAGCTTTTGACGGTTGTTCGAAAGAAATAGATATCTAATCTTTGCATGACATATCGGCATCGGTATGGGGTAAATAAGTAATTAGAATTGGGGTAACATGCATGTGATGTGCTGCGACAAACCCCAAACAGCCCAAACTCTTACTGTCAAAACATTCAAAGTTTTTTCATGGGAGAAAATGTATGATGTTAGAAAGATATGATAGTTAAAAAAATTTGCCTAAATCATACATCAAAAGTTATTTTGAAAATCTATATGATTTATGATTGATGGTTGATTGGTTGTAAGTTTTTGCGGTATGATGCAGTCGAGAGATATATAACGAGGATCTGATGTGCAGGAAGCAGGCAGGGTTTGTAATTGTGAACGATGTAAGTAACACTGATTGACACGAGTCGGTTCGGGAATCCAATGTTGTCAGCATTGGCCATATCGGAATGCTCTGCTTTTTTGATAGACAGCCATATCGGCATGGGTTGATGCTCCTGCCCACTGCCCACTGCCCCCTGCCCCCTGCCCCCTGGATTAGAAACAAAGCTGGTAGCGGCAGCAGCAAGAGGTGAATGGGGTTGATCATCAGGCTGACTCATCCTACCCTACAGCTTCGAACCAGTTAACCGGCACGGGTCAAATACCAAGCGTTAGAAACATTATTTCCGTTATTGGCTGGCGGCGCTCATAAACATTTTTATAATTTTCCCTTACCTTTGTCCGTTATATTAACCGTTGTTACTCTTTTTTAGTTTTCTTTTCCTTCTCTATATAAACCAGCCCCCCCCCTTCTCTCCCTTTCAAGCCCAAGGAAAGGAAAGGAAAGGAAAGGAAAATCATCCTACCTTTCGTTCTTGCTCCCCGACCCTAGCCATGGAAACTGAGATAGAGCGCTTGTGGGTTTTTGCTCTCGCTGCAAAATGCAGAGCCTTCTCGTCTGATAATCTCGTCTCGTCTGTGATCCTACTTGTTTTTGCTTGGCTATCACTGACCTTCATCTACTGGGCTTACCCAGGAGGCTCAGCCTGGGGAAAGTACTGGTTCTGGTTGAAGAAAGGACCCAGCGCCAAGCCAATACCAGGGCCGAGAGGCCTCCCTGTGGTGGGAAGCATTAATCTTATGGCAAGCCTCGCGCACCGCCAGTTAGCAGCCGCTGCGCAGCAGTGCTTAGCCAATCGTCTCATGGCTTTTAGTCTGGGTGAGACTCGCGTCATCATCACATGTAACCCCGACGTTGCTAAAGAAATCTTGAACAGCTCGGTCTTTGCGGATCGTCCGGTCAAGGAGTCGGCTTACAGTCTCATGTTCAATCGAGCAATTGGTTTTGCTCCTTATGGTGTTTACTGGAGAACACTTCGAAGAATCGCTGCAACCCATCTTTTCTGCCCTAAACAAATTAACGGCTCCGAGGACCAGAGGTTCCGAATCGCGGCTCAGATGGTGTCAATGGTTGGCCATCGTAAAGGAGAATTCAGTGTTCGTGACACGCTGAAACGTGCTTCACTGAACAACATGATGAGTTCTGTATTTGGACGCCAATACGAGCTGAGTTCCTCCTGTGAGGAAACCGACGAACTAAGCAGACTGGTCGAAGAGGGGTACGATCTTTTAGGGAAGCTCAATTGGTCCGACCACCTCCCATGGCTGGCCGGATTAGACTACCAAAATATCCGATCCAGATGCTCCAAGCTTGTTCCCAAGGTGAACCGCTTCGTGAACCGCATCATCGCCGAACATAGAACTAAGACCGGCAAGAATAACCAGGACTTCGTGGACGTTTTGCTCTCCCTTCAAGGTTCCGATAAATTATCAGACCCCGATATGGTCGCCGTTCTTTGGGTAAGTTAACGTGCACTCTCCCAGTTTAGTTAATTATTTCTTTTCCTTGAATAAAAGAAGAGAAAAAAAAAATGTAACGATTACTACGTAAAAATGTTTGCTTAAAACGAAGGAATTAAATAATATTTTTTTTCCATTCCTTTCTTGGTACAGGAGATGATCTTCAGAGGAACAGACACGGTAGCGATTTTGATAGAGTGGATACTGGCAAGGATGGTGCTCCATCCTGACATTCAGTCGAAAGTCCAGCAAGAGCTGGACGAAGTCGTCGGAAAATCACGACCGGTGCTGGAACCAGACATTCAAGCGATGGTGTATTTGCCGGCGGTGGTGAAGGAAGTACTCAGGCTACACCCACCTGGCCCACTTCTGTCATGGGCCCGGCTTGCAATCACAGATACGACAGTTGATGGTAAACAGGTGCCCGCTGGAACAACAGCCATGGTGAACATGTGGGCTATAACGCGGGACCCACAGGTTTGGTCGGACCCACTGAAATTCATGCCGGAAAGGTTCGTGTCAAGGAAGGAGGACGAAGTGGAGTTTTCGGTAATGGGATCGGATCTTAGGTTAGCTCCATTCGGGTCGGGCAGGAGAACATGCCCCGGAAAAGCTTTAGGGCTAACGACAGTGACCTTTTGGGTAGCAACCTTGTTGCACGAGTTTGAGTGGATAGGCTCGGTTCAAAATCCGGTTGACCTGTCTGAGATCTTGAGGCTGTCTTGTGAGATGGCAAATCCTCTCACCGTCAGAGTGAATCGTAGGCGTGCCTAGCCTATATGCCCATCAATCCCAAATCCCAAATCCCACAATTCCCAATTTCCCTGTAATGCATGCAAAATGTAAAGAATTGTGCAGTGCAGATGTTCCCCGTCTTACTTTTGAGACCTAAAAAGCCTCTCTAGAGTCTAAGCCTCTCTTACGTCTTCTTCTTTCTTAGCTTGTTGGTTCAGTAGTAATAATTTTTAGCCGCTGTAAAATATGGAGCGAAAGTAGAAGCAGCTATAATCTACAAAACTACAAAATAATCCACCATAGTCTATATGGATCTGATAGGTTTGAAATGTTTATAGCTTTGAGGCAATAATGTGTGTGTATGTGATCGACACTTACTCTCTTCTAGCTTACTATACTTTTATATACATGCAGTTTGAAGAAAACAGCTCCCGGATTAAATGCTTGGTGTGTTGGTCCCTGCATGGTGAGGTTGAGAGAGAGAGAGACCTTTGATGCGCCAAGTGGTGAGGCCACTTTGCCTTGGTTTGGTTTCACACAGCTATTAAGGCTACCCAAGTTGGAGGTCTACCTACTCATGACATGAATTCATCATAGGCCTAACTGGTACTTGGTTTGATATCAACCGATCACCTTCCAAATTCCAATTGAATCTACATACATGCAAGAATAACACCTAACAATGACCTAATGTCACAACATCTCTTGGCAGCCCAGCAATAATTGTGTTTGGCTTTTTCCTTTTACATCAAAACAAATTAGTTGGAGTGAAGAACAGTTTTCACTATAAACAAAAAAAAAAGGGCCCGCCCAGCAGACACATTTATTGGCATGATTAATTTCTTGTGTCACCAGGATTAGGGTTAGCAAATTAAGGCCTCCTCATGTGAAGGGCCATAATATTCCACTTTTTGCTGCCACTCTTGTTGTCCTTTCCGTTGCTATTGTTCTTTTTGTCGCTCCAAATATGCAATTATATACAAATACAGATATGTAGAGTATACAACTTTATTTTTATATTATATTATATGTATTTACACTATATATATATTTGTATTTATACTCTTTTCAAACTGAGCCTAATAAGACTCATTTTATAGAGCATAAAATCTTATGTTTTATATTATTTAGTATATACTTATATTGTACATATTTATATTTGTACTTTTTGTATTCTTTTCAAACTGAGCTTAATTAAACGTGAACATAAAGGAGAATAATTTAATGGGATTATTATACCTGCTTGGGAACAAATTAATAACCCAACCTTTGAAATGGATGATAAAAGTGCTAGGGGATGAAGGGAACTCTTCAATTTCTTGTTATTGTTAATGGTTAGAAATAGTAGGGGTAGCATTACTTAATTTTCAAACAGTAAGGGTACACTTAGTCAATTAGCTAAACTATAAGGGTAGTTTAAGAAATTTACCCAAAAAACAAATGAACAATTGAACAACAAGACAAACAAATTTGAAATCTATTATATATTTAGGTTTGGCTCATAAAAAATAAATGAACAAATGAACAATAAATATGGATATGATGGGTAATGGATACTCATACGTACATTACTCAACAAATTAGCATGAAAAATCTAAAATAAAAAGAGTCCTCAAAGCACACAAATTCAAGTAATATAAAAAACAACTGCTAAATTACAAATTTACAAATTGACAATAAAAAAAAAATTAGCAACATATGGGGTGAATCTTTGAAATCCAGAGACAATGAAACATTGATTTCAAATCACATAGCAATCCCATGCTCTGGTATTTTTGGCTATAAAATCAAGAAACCCAACCCCAATAATCTTATCAAATTAAACAATATGTTTCTTCATCTTTTTTTTTTTTGGATTTCCATCAAAGCAAAACAACTGTAGACTCGTCTACATGAGTATTTACAACACATATAATAGATACAAAACTGGTTTCAAGAATGAGATGAGATGTTGAACATGTAAGATTCTTGAATGTTATTAGTAATATGACTAAAACCAAAAGGAAAAGAATATTTACTTCAACTGAAATAGGAAAGATTTCCCCAAATTAGAAAAAATAAATAAAAATACACTCTGACCAAATCAAGTTTAACTGTTGTCTAGAACATAAAAGTATTGATCCAGCAACAAAATACACTTAATCAGCCTAAGCCCAAATTGCACAGTTGAAAACATCAAAGAGCAATCCAAGGCAAATAAGAATAAGAAAAAAAACCATCAAAGAGAACATTACCATGCTCTGTTATTTATGCAAAGAGCAGTCCAAGCCAAATTACATAGTCGTATCTTTTATAAATGATATAGTCCGAAATGCCTATTTCCAGGTGTTTCAGATCCTTATTTTTTTTAATAATAAAAAACAGTTTATAATATTTCTAAAAAATCAAAGTTTGAAAATAAAAAACTAAAAAAAAAAGTATTTCAGTCGTACCGATACGATATGGCCAAAACTCGTATCTTATCGATACTTTGAACCTTAGGTATGGCTACAAAGAGAGAGAGAATGGTAAGTGACGTGGGTTTGGTTATACAATACACCATGAATTTGTCTGTACGTAGGTGTGGATTTTTACATATATCCATGGTGGCGATTTAACAGAAAATATCCCTTTAATGTGCAGTCGACGTCTCTCTGTCACTTTCCCTCCTAGGCTCCTAGCTAGTTAATTAGTATCTCCAAAGAGTGAAGATTATTAGTTGGCCACACGATTACAAGATTTGTAGGTTAGAGGAGGGATCATTAATTTTTTATCAACATTGCCTAGGACAAAACAGGTAGAGGTGTAAAACGGCCGTGGGCGGGTGCGGGTTCCCGTGGGATAACTTGGGGGTCGGCCTGGCATGGCCAATGGCCCAGGCCTGTGTGGGCCCATGTTATAAGTCGAGTCTTGGGTTAGGTTTGGTTGTGCATCAGGCTAAAATTATTTATTTAAAAAATTGACAAAAAATTTAAAATTTTAATTTTATATGAATATTGATGTGTATAATTACCTATATATATAATAATAATTAAATAAATTAGTATAATAAAATTAAAGAATATTTATTTTATTAATATATTATATACTATATATTATTATATAATTATAATATTATAATATATATATGGGTCGTGCTAGGCTGGGTTGTGGGCTAGGCCATGCTTGTACACTGGCCGTAGGCGGCATGGCCCACTTGGTCATGCTGTGCCGGTCTGGCTCGTGGACCTAAAACCCCAGGCCCAGCATGGCTCGCACGGTTGTATCGGGCTTGACACAACCTGTAGACCGTCGGGCCGGTCCAAATTCGTGCTGAGCCGCGGACGGCATGACCCGATTTACACCTTTAAAAACAAGCTATGGATTTTTATTCATAAGTGTGGCTTTAGATTAATTGTTGAATCCAGTGGAGGAATTTGGAAATTTGTAGAATTGACAGTTCAACATTGCAAGTGGAATGGAGGCACCCTTATTTGATATTCATTTACAGTGAGTTTGAATTGAGGTCTCATTTGATGTATCTTTTTGTGTGGGCTGTTGGCTGTTTAGAAGTTTGGCAGTTTATGTTGTCTTTTCCCATTTAGTTGAGGGAAGATCTAGCCGTCAAAAAGCTTTACTTCGAAAAGATGTGAGAAACTCAATTTGAGCTTACACAAAAAAGCTAAAAATGAAATTTCTCACATTTTTCGTCTTTGTGTGAAAAGATACTTCTCCAACTAGAGATCGGCTTCAGTCAGAGCTAGGCCCGTTCGAATAGTGTTCGAACAGCCTTTACAACCTTTTATCAGGAATATCTCTGTACTTTTGTTCTTTATTTCATTGGAAGATATTCCCAATACAAGACTAGAAAGGCTGTTTGAATGGACTTTGCTCTGACTGAATCCGGTTCCCTTCAACTAAATAATTTGTGATCTGCCAAGATCTTTGTATAAAAACGCATATCTTTTGGTTATCAAATTTCTCAGAAGATCTTTAGACTTGCTAAATGGCACCTAATTGTTTTTGTAATTATGTTCATCCCTGCACCTAGMGGCGCTGATGAATTAGGACTATAAAGAGAAATCATTGGGACCCGGTTGGATCCTATTTTTTACCCTTTTTAGGAAAGCTTCAAATGACCTATGTATACATCCATATTACAACTAGTATTTCATTGGGACCCGGTTGGATTTCCACAACGTGGGCAGCCAGCACCAGCCACCGGCCACCGGCAATTAGTTTTTCATTTTTCTTTTTTCTTACAGGCTTGAATCTATAAAATCAAAGTTAATTAAAATTAAGAATACATATATTGGTTACAAGTTATAGCCAACGAGGAAGAAAGCATTAAACCTTTTCCATACCTAATTAGTAATTACTCACATTGCACATTTTACAGTGGGTGATCATTTCATAAAATTAAGGGTAAAATATAAAAAGCTCCCTTGAAGTTTTTGATAATCATAAAAACCTCCCTTATAGTTTTACTTTAGCAAAAATCTCTCCTAAACTTTTAAAGATCTCGACAAAAACCTCCCTTCCATCACTGATTCAGACAGAAAACCAATAAAATTATGAAATTGCCCCTAATTAATTGTCAAGGAATCAATAAAATATTTCAAAATGTCAGAACTGCCCCTGCTTTCCCTTCCTCTTGCAATAGAAGGGAACAATGTGAAATCCTTCCCTCGATCGCCCCTCACTGCTTCCCCTGCTTCCCCCTCACTGCCCCCACTCTTCTTCTCTCTCTTCTCCGTCCCCATTGTCCCCACTCTCTTCCATTAAGTCGATTGAGTTAGAGCAATCAATGCACCTAGATTAATAGAAAACCATGAATAATTCAGGAGAAGAAAGAACTCAAAAGGATTGATTCGTATATCCAAAATTGCCAATTGTGTTTCTAATAGAATGTATTGAAACTGAGGTGATTGATTGCCGAAATCCACTATTTGCACAATTTCTTATGAAAACCAAGAGCAAGACAATCAATTTCAACTCAAAATTGGTAAAGGGTAAACTCAATAAACCCAGAAAGCAATAACAAGATTAACTTGAAAGTTCATACCCACAAGAGATGTAGAAAGGAAAGCACAAAAACATGCAAACAAATGGAGAGAAAAGATTACTCCAACCCGAACCAGAATCGAATTTAAGAAATTTTAGAAATTAGGGAAATGACAGACAAGATAATGGAAATCAAAACATACATTGATCCATTCAACAAGGAGAGATTGAGATAAGGGACAAGCTCCCTCTGCAACTGATCAAATGGTTCCTGGAGGTCCGATCTATGTTGCTAAGGGGAAACCGCATTTTGCTGATTTCAATCTCATGGAGGGGGTGGGGAGGGTATGTGCACCCCTAGATCTCGTCCATGGCCGAAGCTTACCCGTGGTTAGAGGAGTTGAGGTTGAAGCGCATGGTGGTGACTGATGAAGTATTGGAACCGATCTCGCATTTGTTTATT